TAAGGCTAGTACTTCAAATGAGTCTTAAAAATAGCATTTCATTAATTACCTGTTCTACTCTCAAACTCTATTAGTTCTTCATCTATTGGTTTTCCAGTCAACCATTTCAGCTAAATACATCAATGATAGACCACTTTTTACTAGGGTTTCCAGTCGTAACTACGTTACGCGTAATTATGCATAATTACACGTTACATTTTTTTCACTTACACAAGAGCATTATGCGAAATTGCATAATGCATATTAATTACGTATACAAAAGAAACTCTATAATACTTAGCTTTTGAAGCTAATTCATCTAATCAATATTAACACTCTTTATGTCATTGAAAAATACATGTATAAATGTAAAAAATGCTTACATGTGCTATAATGTGCTTGGGGCTGGTGAATATGAAGGGCATTAAGTTGGCCCACTCCTTGGCATTCAAACGTTCAGCTCTAAATAATAATTATTTACTATAAATCACATTTTTTATAAGAAACTTCTTGTTACAAATAAAAACATTAGGTCTTAAGTTTTAAATCTTGTTTTGCTTGTTTTTTTCTGGGGTGTATAAAAAATTTGCCATTTTTTCTTTTTAAAATGCATTATTTTAGGGATTATAATGCACTGCAATATAAATATTTAAAAATTATGTCTTTTAAGTTATTGAATTTGGGGAAGAAAATCTAACAAAAAAATGAGGGGGGGGGGGCGTAGAATCCAAAAATTGTAATTATATACACCCCTGTTTATTGTTTTGTTAAAAGTTGCAGTTGAACAAACTAATATGTCTAGTTACCGTCATACAAATTGTAAACTGTCTTAGTACAGTGTCAAATACAGTTGAGTTCCAATATAATAAAAAAATATTATCATCAAAAATTTTACCTGAAAATATATTGAACGGTATCCTTCATGTCATCCATGTCATCCATGCCATTTCGAAGGTCTCGTAGAGAATCCAGAGTTGGTTTAGCTGGATTATATCTTGATAGTATTACTCCGTAACTCCTAGGAAGTCGAGCTTTCTTGGACGGCAGTAGTTCTCCGGCAGCTGTATTTGCGCGTTTCGTTATAGTTCCCACCTTCTTTTTGAAAAAAGCGCAGCGTCCAAATTTTCCCCGAAGTGAAACCCCTAGCTTTGATATTGGCACATTTCTTCTCACATTCTTGACGTGTACGGATTCTACCTCTGGGGCGTAAATTCCGGGAAAAACTACTCCCATACAATCAACCATGGATTGGAAATCCCCTGCAGTGGGGATGTAGTAAGAAGGGTCGGGGAAGGTTTCACAAGTAAATTTAATAATTTGTCTATCCACATCATCCCTTATTGATGTATAAACCTCTTCGTCGGCAGGGCAAACATACTTGTTTTCAAAATATATGTGAAATCGTGGTTCTAGAGATTTAACCAACTCTCCTGCGAATCTTGAAAACATGGCTAAAGCCATCTTTACTGTGCTAGCTCTTCTGTCTCCTGAACCTCTCATAAGCTCCCTGACCTGATTTGAGTCTCTTGCAACCTGCTTAACTTGTTCTCCCGTAACCTCCCTGACCTGACCTAAGTCTCCCGTAACCTGCTCAATTTGTTCTCCCGGTCTGTCTCCTGAACCTCCAGATACTCCTATAAACTGCTTATCTAGTACTCCTGGTCTGGTTCCTGAACCTCCGGAGACTCCCATATCCTGATCAGCTTCTTCAGAACAAGATGAATCTCCAGAAGTTTCTGTGTCAACCTCGAATTTATCTGACAGTCCTGAAATTATTTGTAAATTGGTATCTAAAAGTTCAGATAAATCCGTACATTGCCTTTAAATTTAAGGACTTCAAGACTTGTCTTTGTTAGAAACGATAATTTAAAATGTTCATTAGCAAATTGTTAAAACTTACGAAATGATCTGTGATAAAATGCACAAATTATACGTGAAGGGATTGTAAGCATAAAATTAAATGACTAGTAAAGTTGGCAATGTCTGATTTACAACGGTACCCTTAAAAGCTTTGTCTGATCGAGTATTAGTTAGAGAGCAATGTTTTTTTATTTTTATATTATATTCAATTGGCAATCCTCAACAAAAGTGACTTGCACATTAATACGACAGAGAAACGTATATATGAAGTATTAAAATTAACCGCTTTTAATCCAAGAAAATTTTTTATCAGATAATGTTTTCGGACAATGTCTTCTTTGCAAGAAAGGGCACAAATAAAAATAAAATCTTCCGGATCACAAATCAAAAAAACAAAATTTAGAAATATACATAAGCAAACTTTTATGAAATAATAAAATAAAGCGGATCATTAGATTTCAGATATCTTCACTCGTCAGTTAAAAGAGTTAATAATTTGATATCTCATCTTTCAATATATATAATAAAAATATATTATACCAATCTGGTTGGCGGAACCATCACAACCCAGAACAACTGAAACATATAAGATTGTACGTATAATGTACAGGCTGAGTCAACAAAAAAATGTGATTGGTGTCGTCATGTACAATATCATACTTTAGCAGTTCACATTTTTGATAGATTTGAAATAAAATTTGGATTGAAAAAAAGTTCTGAAAAATTTGTTATTCTTAAAACCAAAGGTATAGAAAAGTTTGTTGTATTTAAAAGTGCATCCGGATCATGGATCTGCACTGGAAAAAAATGGATTCTGATCCTGGAAGCCAAAATGTTGCGGATCCAACAGATCCTGCTCCAGGTCATGAACATTTATTTAAAAGTTAGTGATTTTTTAATCAAATCAAATCAAATCAAATCAAATCAAAAGTTGCAGAGATGGCCAAGACTCCAGTAGTGGATCAAAGTTTCAAGTTCTCCACGTTTCCTGGTTTTTCAGACCGGTTTTCTGTTTTATAAAAATGTTCTTGTTTTTACTTAGAAATTGCGCAGTACCCAGCCACACGAGCAAATTCGAGCCAAGCCATAATATTCTAGCTTTTCAGATTTGAGTTTTGAGAGTTATTTTGGTTGATAATTTGGGTTTGGATCCGGATTTGGATACAGCGGATCCAAAATATACGGATCTTAAGCACTGCAATTAACTGTAAGGATTTTCAAAATGTTTTGGAGATTTCATAACATTCTAAAACATTATAAAATCTTAAAATGATAACTATGAGAAAAAAATGGGTTGAATGAGACCACACTTGATTTTACCCAACACTGAATACAAAACCATTTAATGGATTTAATGAATATTAAAAATATTTCTACATTTATAATTACTTACCAACTGGGATATTGGAAAACTCTGTAGTCTGCACTGGGTATATCCTAAAAATAACTTATTAATATTTTGTATCTTTGCATTTTTTTTTTCTACTGGGATTTTAATCTTTTATTTTAACTTTTGGCTTTATCTGTTCAAAATAAACAAAATAACAGAAAATTTAATAATATTTTGTGGATCTAACATTTTTAAACTGAGCGGTTTCGACGTTTGTTGGATACCAAAATAAACAAGCATAATGCTGTATAATGATAGATGATATAAATTTGTTTACCGTTTGCCATTTACATAGTACTCTAAAAAGTTATCTAGTTCCACATCTTGCTTACCGCCATTTCCGTCTCGAGAAGCATAACTAGAATCAAGATTATCTGTTACATTTTTCAATGCTTAAAAAGTTTATCAATCCAAAAATTGTAAATAATGATATATCTACTATTATTATTATAATTATTAAAAGATAACCCGTCATTCATTGGATCATCTATCCCAATCAATCTCAATTTCAATTTTTCATGATTATTGATTATTTATTAACATTTTAAATTACTATTATCAATTCCTTGCCTCTTTAAAATAGGGAGAGGATCGCCTTTTCGTGCGTTGAAGGGCACTAAAGCTATAGTATCTCCAACCTTTAGCCTTAAAATGTAAAGTACAATATCCATTATATTATTATATTATAACAACCAGCTTGGGAACCCAGTGTTGTCGAAAACTTAACTTTTGCAAAACAAATTTATCTGAAGAGTGTAGAGTGTAGAGTGTAGATTGTAGAGTGTAGAGTGTAGAGTATAGAGTGTAGAGTGTAGAGTGTAGAGTGTAGAGTGTAGAGAGGATAGTGTACATAGTAATGAACTTACGGTATTTTAACTGATGTATCATTCGGTAGATGTGAGAATGACTCCTGCCAATTCATCTCTCTGAAATAAAATAGTATATTTCTTCTTTTAAAAGTATCAAACAATAATTACAACAATTACAATTAGATCACGGTAAGATTTAGTTGTGAGTTAGATTTTTCTCAGTGTTTGAACTAAATTTAAATTAAACTTTAGATCAAATTAAACTCGAGGTTTGATTTAGCTCATGGTTAAGTTTTGCACTAGGTAAGGTTTAACTAAGTGTTAGATTTATCTCAGGATAAGATAAAATTAAACTAAAGGGTTTGCTTATGAGTAGGTCAATTGCTCAGGGTTTAATTCCAGAGGCTTAATGGGTGTACAATGTTAACTAAGATAAATCCGTGACCAGGAGTTCCTTTTTTGCTCTAGTCAACAATGGGAGCTTTCCGCAGGAAAAATATGAAGGAATCTTCACTTCCCAGGGGAAGAATTGGCTAAGAATATTCAATGTCAAAACACGGAAATATTTTTCTTTTAAATAAAATCATTTCTGCAATTTTACTTGATAATTTTGTAATGATTGTGCAGTTTTCAGTTTTCATTGATGTATTCTTTATTTGACATTTCATTCCTGAAAGTTAACTAACCTAACTCGTGGCCGCAGCGCTCGGCCCCCTAGCCCATCCTAGCTGCAGCGCTCGGCCCAGATAGTATCTTAACCTAACCTAACCCTAAATAACAAAAAAATAAATAATAATAAATTTGCTGAAAAATAAATGGTCATGTACAAAAGGGGGGGGGCGACGGCGTGGGCGGGGTGCGTACCCTAAAACGGCGTTTAAAAGCAAAATGTGTTATCAACGGCCTTCGTTTTAATGGCATTTTACCATTTTATCAAATTACTTTTTAGGACAATAAAACGGCGTTTGGTATGCAATGTGGCAAGGTAAAAACTTACACGCTCAGTGACATCTTTGGCATCTTGGCTGCAGGACTTTCATTTACATTTGACATGTCTGAAACTTTTTTAAGTTAACATTTATTAATGCAAATGTCTAGAGATTATTCGATCATTTAAATAACAATGTGAAGTACAAACAATGCTAAATATTGCAATACAAAAATTATAGTGTATTATCAAAATATAAAAATAGATGCAGAGATGGAACAATTTTTTAAAAATCACTGTAGAATGTCATGACATGTTTATTAAATCATGCAAAAACAATTGGTAAATTTTCCCACTGTCATCACTCACTATACAGTACGTGGAAGTCTAAATACTAAAGAGTACATATCAGGTCAGGATCAGCTGACAACAGCCCCCTTGCTACCGCGCACCTGGCTCGTCCAGTCAAGACGCTAGACCAGCCGCGGACATGCGCAGAAGCGGGATTCAACCATTGAATAATGATGATTCAACATTTGTCGAATCACGGTTTAACTCAAATTTTACACTAAATCAGAATGAAACAAAACAGTGGAAACATCGTTCAAAATCAATATGAAACAAATTTTGATGCCTGTTTATAGAAACTTGTAATATACATCAGCAAGCTTTGTTATATTGTAATTTTCAAAAATGTGCAACAAAATTTGAGTAATGAAAAAAGAACTTTGAAGTATGACGGAAGAGCTTTGATCTATGATGTTAAGGACCAAAATTGTATTTTTTAGAGTGTAGGGTAATATATGCATGTATTTAAGAATTATGATAATTACATTTTCAATTTTAGAAATTTAATATTTGTATTAGATTTTGAGTTTATCAAGCCACCTGCTTCAGGTATTCTAGATCAGGCCAAATTTAAAGAATTTGAGCCACGACTTAAACATTGTTGGTTCACTTTATAATATATTTAATGTTAAGATTTAGTTGACAGTGTTTCCAGAGAGATATTTATTGTGTATTAAAAATGTAAAAATGGCATACACACAAACTCTTAATCAAGGACATGGTTTTGAAAATAATGTAGTTTGGCGGATTTTTTAACATGGTCTGAGATTTCTTATGTAATCTTTCTCCATTCTTTTCTGGATGCAACAAATTACAAAAACAAATTCTTACCTATTAATATGTTACCTTTGTAACATGTTACCTACTCAAAATGTTACCTAGACAAGTGTACTATACAAAATATTACTAGATTAAATAACAGATCATCACATGAACATAACATTACTGATCCAATGTGAATTCATAGTAGTTATTATAAAATCTTAAATATAAAACTCTGAAGTTTACATGCTAATTGAGTATTTATCAATAGTTTAAAAAAGATAAATACAAATATTGCAAAGAATACCTGGTCTTCCTTTTTGACATCTGAAAGATTTCTTGCCTTTTCGAATACAGATTCCTCCCTATTTCATACATTTGGATATAAACTTCCAGTGATCAATTTCAAAAATGTTTTTAAAATTTATTTTGTATTGTAATATATGCAAAGTAGCTACATTTTAAAATGTATTCTATAATTACAGGTTACTTTTAATAAACGTAAAATTCTTGTGATTCATTTTATATCTAAGAGAATTACATCTAGATTAATTTTAACAATTGAAAATAAATACATAATATAAAATTCAATCGTTGTAAATTATCTCAAATATAGTTTTTTGACCAATGCCATGCTAAATTATATTAATAGTTTATACTAAAAGGTAACTCACCCTTCTACATTTTCTTCCAATTGTTTTGTTCTCACCACAATAAAGGTTATCATCTATTTCTAATGATTTTTTTCCTAAATAAAACTAAATTACCAATACATTTTTAAACAACATTAATTGGGGTTTTAGGCAGAATTTACAACTGATTAATTTCTGTTAACACCAAAATTGTTACATCTTTTCTAAGATGGTATTTTTAATTTTTAATACAGCAGAATATTAGAATAAGACATAATTGATTACCCATACATGTTGATTTTCCTCTAGCCTACAACAAAAATGTGTGTTTTTAAAAGTGATATTCAAATAATAAAGATATGAAGATCATTAATTTTTAAATATCTATGAACATACATTATGTAAATCATATTTCTAAAAACTGTTACAAAACATATTTGTGTCTTTATTCTAAATCTGAATAACACCTGTTTTCTACAGATTCGTCCATTGATACATCTCTGACCAATGGTTCCAGGTCGTCCACATTCAGCTCCTATATAATATTTGACTTTGCCAGAAATAATAATCTAAAGAACATTATGTATACAGTTTTCATCATGGCTTACTGGATCTGAACCAATCTATTTTTGATTTTGAGAAACTTCTTTGATGTGTTTTGTAAAAATTATCTTATGTTGAATTTATCAAAGTACATTTGTTGTTTTCCAGAGCACAAATTTTAATAAAATAGCATTACATGTTGAGTACTTACTTTTAGGCTTAGATCCTCTGTTCACAGATGGCATCAACACAGAATTATCTTCTATCCTGAACACAATTATTTTCTCAAAAAAATGAATAATTTCTTAAAAGAAATTCTTTTTTTTTAATTTTAATTTTTTATAAATTTTCGGGTATAGATAATGCAAAAAAGTTTTTTTAAAATTATTATTGTCATAGTATTTAACCCTATTTCCGTATTGTGATATAAATCTATAAAATTTGATACATTTTTGGAAAACTCTTAGGCTCGACTTCAATTATCTGCCAAAAAATTAGCAAACTTTTTAAAATTTCAAATATTTATTGAAATATGAAGTTACTAAGCTTTTAGGGCGCTTCGCGTCCAATCTTCTATTTAAATTGTGAACATGTTCTTTTTGTTTATATTTTAAAACAAAGAAGAATAACATTTTGCGGATTTTTAGAAAAAAATTTGCGGATTTTCAAGAATTTAATTTTTTTACAAAATTAAAAACCTTTAAAACACATTTTTTTAAATTTTTATCCTTCATAAACCTTCCCTGTGGTCACATGATGTCCCACAAAAAATTTGGGCCCGATCGGTTCAGCCGCTTTGACGTTTAATGGATACAAATAGACAAACAAACAGACAGACAAGCCAAATTTATATATAGATTAAGCAAAAAAGTGCAAAAATAAAAAGTGTGTGAAATATGATGAATTATACATTTTTAAAAAGCTCTTCCCATGGCAAATTAAAATATGCAAAAAAAATTTGCAAAATTTTCAAAAACTAAATTTACAATTAAGGAAAACTGAAAATGTCAAAATTCTCTGTAAATCTATTCAATATTCTTTAGCAACAAAATATGCAATCTGCTCCCTTTTGATCATAGAATTATAAAAATTTAGTCAGGTAAAGATAAAATAAGGCATTCAGGCAGTTCCAAAAGTGAGGGGCATGTATTAGTTAGAAAATTTAAAAAACTTTTTACTATTCTTTTGTATATATTACAGCAGAATATTAACAGCGTTTTGTAAAACAATGCTAATCAGATTTTTAAAACTTTTTAAATAGTGATTAAACGCCAGACCTAGTTTCAGAATTTAAAGAATATAAATTTATACTTTACCCCTTATATAGCTTCAAAAGTAATTTACAGATCATAATTTAGGAAATAAAGTATTAAGTCCTAAACTTTACCGGTTCTGTGCTTTAGTTTGTAACAAGCAGAATAATACTAACATCAACACCTAGGATACAAACAGCAATTTAGAATTTATTGGCTGTTATTTAACAAATAAAATTAACGTGGTTCAAATGAAAGAATGTCACTCAATGGTAGAATTTATAAAGCTTACAGGAGTAATAATATTCATTTCACAGTTTCTAATAAAACTGACAGTATTGCCAATTAAATGTAGGAACACTAAAACATGAAATTATAAACAATAAACAATTTCTACTTCAGAATCTGATTATCAATTTGTCAAATCATAAATACTTTTCCTGTATAAATCAATTAATCTTTTTGAATTATGATATTTTCGTAGAAAATACATTAATGTAATTTTTTCTTTTTTTATTGTTCATTATTTTTCCAAATATTAATTTTTTACAATATTTATAAAAAAAAGATAAATGATGGTGAAAGCAATTACACATGGTGCTCACACATCTGCAGATACCCTGTAAAATAAAATTGATATTATACATTACTTTATGCTCTTCTTTAGTTCACAATATAAATTGTTTTCATTCTGTCTATACATCATTCTCATATTTCACAATTTCATTCGAGTGAAATAATATACTTAAGATCGAATTACCCTGTTAACTTAATTACAATTTCACTGCTATTAAAAAAAAATAATCTCAAAAGTCTGCATATATTTGGGGCATTTTTATCAATATTTTTATTATGTCAAAAAAAAAGTTTGGGGAAATAATAGAAATTTTAATATAATTTTAATACAAAAAATGTTACATTGAAAATTAAATCCCACAAAATAAGGTGTATCCCACCTGCTTCCTGCCCCTGATCGACCCATGTTCTCGGACAAAGAAATTTTGTTTTAAATGGTATTTTGCGTGTTCAATAAATAAAGGACAGGCAGAGTGGGCAGTGGGTGACAAGCAAGGGAAGGCAATTCCCCCCCCCCCAAGCTTCCAACCCTCATTTTACCTATTTGCGGCAGTTTGCATCCCCAGAGGGCTTCAAAACCTCCCCCAAACAGTTTTCTAGGAAGAATCTTCCATTTAAAATCGTCAATTTATAAAACAGGACTAATTTGATTATTTAAGCACGGTAGTCGATCTATTGTATCCTTAACATTTTCATATTTTTTTTCTAAAGCAAAAATTTGTTGAACATTTTAAACCCAGCGGTTGAAAGCTAAAAAGTGACCAAAAAATCCTAAACCTAGCCTATGAAAGAAAAACAGTTGCTGAAAAAACTTTAACTCAGCGGTTGAATGAGCAACAGTTGTTGAAAAAACTTAAAACCAGCAGTTGAAAGCTAAAAAGTTGCTGAAAAATCTTAAACCCAGCGGTTGAAAGAAAACAAATTATTTTAAATCTTAAACCCAGCAGTATTTTAAGAAAAACTTTTTTCCATTGATTAAAAGAAAATATTTGTTGAACATCTTAAACCCAGGTTGTTGAAAAAAAAACTTGCAGAAAAAAATAAAACCAGAGATTGATAGCTAAAAAGTTGCCAATAAATCCTAGCGGTTAAAAGAAAAAAAGTTGCTGAAATAATTTAAACTCAGCGGTTGAAAGAAAAAAGTTGATGAAAAAAACTAAAAACCCAGTGGTTGAAAGCAAATAAATTATTTAAAATCTTAAACCCAGCAGTATTTTAAAAAAACTTTGTTCCATTGATTGAAAGCAAAAAGTTGTTGAAAAATCTAAAACCCAACGGTTGAAAGCAAAAAACTGTATATTAAATCTCAGTGGTTGAACTTATAAAAAGTTCTAAAAAGTGGATAAAAATTTAAAGAAAAAAGTATGAATTTAGCGGTAGAACAAAGCTTAAATTTGAGAAAATAAGTTGCATTTCTTATTCAAGACTGCATAAAGTCTAGGCTAGAGCCTAGGCTAGATCTCACCAACTCCTGCTGAGTTTTTTTCTACAAAGCTTATTATTCTTTTTTTTAAAAAAACGATAATTTTAGCCTTAATCTAATTGATGCAGTTTGTTCATCCGTCGTTCTTTTTTTCTGAAATTTCATTAGTTCTGAAAAATTTTGTTTGTCTTATAACGCTGTAAATTTACCAGAGTGATTAAATACTAAAGTGGTCCAAACTCATTGTTAGATGACGACATTTTAAGTCCCATGTATTTTAGAATTATCATGCAGGGCCCTTAAAATCTGTTTGAACTGAGTTTACAGTTCTAGATTAACTGGACTCCAATTTTTTACAAAGTCTTGAATTGTTTAGAAGACCAGGTTGAGTCTCTGAAGTTTCCTGTTGAATTTCAGAAGGTTAAAGAGAATTAAAAGATGCCAAACTTGTAACATATGTTAAGAACAAAACTTTGGTATCATGTTAATTAAGAATTTTTGTTTCATTACAGAAAATTTCAAGTTTTTTTAATTAACGACAACATTATAAATTAGGCTTCTAAAAATAATTTGGAAATTTAACCAAATTTCCAAATAAAATTGTAAAAAATTGGAAAGGGATCAAAAATATGAGGAAAAATATCAAAAATTTAAGGAAGCCAATCAACAAATTAAGATTTTAACTGGAAAGGGGTAAAATATATGAGGAAATGCACCAAAAGTTTGAGGAAACCGATCAACAAAAGTTTTTAAAAGTTTTTGTGAAAAGCGGAAAGAAATAAAAAATTCAAAATCAGATTAAAGATATTCGAATTAACCCCCTCCAAAAATTTTTGGAAATCCCTCAAAAATGTTTCATTAAAATGAAGCGTAAATATTGATATACAATTTTGGGAAATCGAACAATAAAAAGAGGAAACAGATCTTCAAATCAGAATTTTGAGGGATTTCCGAAAAATTCCAAGAAATCGTGAAAATGCATCAAAAGTAGGGTTTCCATTTTTCCAGAACAAAATTTGCATTTTGGAAATGGAATTATCCGGAAATTTGTTGCGTAAACCCGAATTCCGGGTTAATTTACCTGCATATCAAATGGAAACCGGAATGTTTACGGTTTGTGACGTAATCCTGAAATTTTTCCATTTCGTAAACCAGAAATTTTTCTGCTTTACATAACTTAAACTTTAAAATTTAATGTTAAAACACTAAAAGTTAAAACTTATAGTATAATAATTATTAAATATGCATTTATATAGCTCTATAACAGTCATAACCAGAAAACTGTGAAATAGGAAGACGACATTATAACAATTCTGAAGTGCATTTGATGTTGTTTAAAGCAAAGACTTTGCTAATTAAAGATAGCGCATCAGAAAATCTACGCAAATTTGACGCATTTTCTCGGGTTACCATAGATAGTAAGTAATGTCGTCTTCTCCAGAAATCCGGTATATATTTACCCTGTAAGCGTTTCATAATGTCGTCTTTTGTAATGAATTAAATAGTTATTTAAAAGGAAAACAAGGAAACCACTTTAGTTTTTCTATCTTGAAATATTTAATTTGTCCCTAGTCCATAAAAGTACCGTTGTTTTTAGAACCTTTAATGGGTTGGTAACTTGAAATTACAACTATAATCAGTCCCTGAGAACATTTACTTTTGGTTTGAAGTATTAATTGTTTATAAAAAAAATAACCTATAAGATCTTGGTATTTAAATTTCAACCATACACCAATCAAGTCTTATCTTTTATGCAATTGTAACCTTGTACTTTTTAACAGTAATCAATTATCTCATTTTTTTCATTTAAGAAGGAATTCTCTCTCCACCTAATTTAAATGAATTACTAAATTAACGTCGTAATATTTATAATACTATAAATTACTTTTAAAATCCGAGGGTTTGAAATGTTTTTCACATACTCTTGGATCTTTTACTGTGATATACTCTTGATTTAAATGAAGGGCCTTCAGTCACAATTTTTTTCTTTTGGGATTTGCTGGAAATCTAAACCGTGATCCTCCTACTCTTGGATTGCAGCTCTGTATTATACATGTTGGAGCTTTGATTGGCACTGACAGACCTGAATTTATCAGAATTATTCAAAGAATTTGTAAACATAAAACTATGGAATTTGAAAATGACATAATTTATAATTAGACAATCTACTTGTTATCTGCTCAAAAGAGGTATCTTAACGTTCATTAAACTATTTAATCGTAAATTGAGTCTAAAAGTCGTCTTCGTATTCCTTAGGTTTTTTTTCACCAATGTATTTATTTTTTTCCGTCTTTAAAATACTCCAATAATTAATGCCTCAAAACTTATGTAATCAATTTTAAAAGACTTCTAAGTAAAAGTTCGTCCTTTAATTCGCATTTTTAAAGAAACTCTCTGTGATATTTTTTCTTTAATGGTCAATATATTTGAAACAAAATCCCCATAAATCAATTGAAGAATAAGATTAACACATTAATTAACGCAATATTTTTTCTTTGCCTAAGATTAAACAGAAGACGACATTTACACCAAGTTTATTTACCGTTTATAATATTGGACATTTCTGGTCCCCTCTTTTCTTCATCGCCTAAAATTCCATTCCATAGTACCTCAGAAAGAATATTTGACGATATCTGAAAATTTTCACAAACAATTATCGACTATTTTTGATACTAAATAGATGCGTAACTTTATCACAAATTCAGCTATAATTCACCAGATGATCCTCATATCCAACAAATGATTAAATAGATTTTAAAATAAAAATTAATATCATTAATTTTAGATAAATTTTAGCACAAAACATTCACAATTGTGTTAAATATCTAAGGTTTTAATGTCGAGCGTTCGACTCTCAAACAACCAAAATAACCAATTGACGTCAAAATACAGCTGTACTGGTGTACACAATAGTCGGAGAAATTTCCAACGCCTTGTCTTTATAATTAGCAAAGTCTTTGGTTTAAAGCATATAGTTTAGTTTACACAATCCAATAAAATATTTGAACACCGTGATTTATGTAGGTCGGTTGAGAAATTACCAACTACGACGACATTTATAACTTCCAATTAGTTTTATGATTCCTTTCAGTTTGGTTTGGTTTGGGAAAAGGTTAGAAAGGACTGGACTCCTCCCATCTGTTACACGAGGCTCCCGGTCTCTTGTCAAAATTTACCTGAAATATTTGGGCGTGAAAACAAAAGTTTTAATTATATGTTAATCAATTTTCAGCGAAAAAATTAAGCCGTTAGCTTTAGTTACATGATTAATGATGATAAATATCTATGTAGAAGTGAACAGATAAGCTGTGTGAAAGTGAAATAAAAGTATGTCGAAACATCTAAGTAAATTGAACCTGTTTTTTACGTAATTTTTTATTGAAAATGTTTTCTAATCTTTAGGAAATTACCGAATTTGGTACTATTAACATGACCTCGCATAATAACAGGAGATATGAAAGTTCGAAAATGATCGAAAATTTTCGTTTTATTAAATAAAAATGAAATTTAACCAAAACTTTTTTTTCGGGCAAATTTGCACGCACTAAGAAGGCAGACCACATTTTGGAAATGGCAGGACAAGGGCTAGTTTGTGATTATTGTTTCATCAATTATATTTAAATATTTGTTAACTTTAAATAATTCCGGGTCTTTCCGGCCTCTGAGAAGAAATTATTTTCAAGAATATATAAAACCATTCCATTTTTCAGATAGACAGATAGTAGAATATCTGATGTGAACAGTTGATCTTTAAGAGAAGTGAAGGAAAGGATTGCTGTGTCCGGCCTTGGCTTCTGCACTCCTCTTGGATTTGAAGATCAAAATGGCGACCAACGGTGCGCCGGATAGCTGGGATGATGGTGAAGATATGAACGATAAGATGGCGGCGCTTAATGTAGATGCGCCAAGTTTTGTTCCCAACGTGAATGCTGCGGTTTTTGTGCCTTCCTTTCTACCAGCTGCGGCGGCCTTTGCTCCTGCTCCTACAGCTGCTCCTGTTCCCTCATCGGCTCCTGAACCCACCAAATCTCCTGTTCACACTGTCGTTGATTTACCCCAGAAAAAGGTAGTTAAATAAGTCTAAATTTTATTTAAATGGTTTAGCGTGAATACGTTTAAGGAATGGTGATTGATGACAAAGATTCTCTTTTGTTACACTATTTATTTTATTAAAAACTGTATTTATACAGAATAACTTTTTTTTACAAAATGTATTCAGAGCTAACTAGAACAACTGATAGTTATGTCGTCCTTGTTCCGCATTCATCAAGAAATGTTGTTAAATTTTTAAAATTTGCATTTGTTGCAGAAATAGTTCAGTTGCAAACATCTTGCAACATTTTGTAACGAAAGGTAAATAGTGGATGATGAGAATTCCACTGTTGATTCTCACATTTCGTTTGTGTAAGAGTTCTAGGTTTAAAAACACTGCTAATTAAGACAAATGGTTTTGATATTTTTTTATTAAGGATTCTGAGCCGTCGCCTACAGAGGAGAATACTGGTGCCGATTCATGGGAAGATAAGGTAAACCTAGCCCGCGGTTAAACAAAAAATGTTTAATGCAGGGGTGTAAATTTTCCTAAACACCCCCCTCCCAATAACAATTTTATTTTTACCGTTTGGTTTCTATGAACGCAAAATCTTTGTTTAAGGGTTTTATTCTCTAAATTGAGGAAATAAGGTTTTTTTTTTTTGGGGGGGGGGGGGGTCNAGAATTGGCTTTGTAGGCGTTGGCTATATGTTCAAAATAATTTTGCATCTGAGGAACTCAAGAGTTTAAAACTCAAGAATTGTTTTCGTTAATCTTAAGATTATAAGTATCTTTTTTTTGATGATTAAGCATGAATCTATAGTTTTCTGCTCAGTTCGAATTATTGTTTAATTATTAATTACGAGATTTAATAATAATTAATAATAATTCTTTATTAATAATTTTGATAATTTAGGCCGATATGTCAAGTTCAGCCACAACCCCTGATGATGAAGATTCAATGGAGATTGACGAGAGTGGAACCTCAAGAAAGGTAAATTAAAGGAATTGATGATGCTCCATCGATAAGAATTATGACCAATAGACCTTAAAGGTTTATCGCCCTAAACTCTGCTGTTAACATCCATATCTTTTAGTATTTTTAACTTTAGTGCATTTGAACAAAGTTCTTCATACAAATGTCATTTTGATAGAACTTGGGAGTAAAGCGAAGAAATTTAACTCTGCCAGTGGTTTTATACGAACTAAACCAACTTCTCTTCATTTGAATAGTCCCATTGAACTTGAATTAAAATGAATATTAGTTAAGACAAACTTTAGTACAATCGATCATTGGTCACATTGATACAACACCGTAGCTGCGTAGCATTCCAATTGAAAGAAATAACCATAATATGAAATTGATCGGTTTATTATACAGAGCATCTTATATCATGACGTCTCCTAAATACGCACAGTTTACTTCGAAAATTCCCTATCATACGCTTCAGATTCGTTATTTGTTTAGACTCGTGTGAAGCAGAAGGCCAAGACACAGGAGGAGGTGACTACAGACAAGGAACATGTCAACGTCGTCTTCATTGGACACGTCGGTGAGTTGATTATTCAGGGAGTGGGGACACATTAAAACTTTAAATAGGTTTTAAAAGTTTCTGTGACTCCGTTCGCTCGTAACATCACCCGTCCTCTTTTTTTGTAGAAAAAATAGCAGATGAAATGTTAGCCGCGGATGCGTTTATCCAGAAGTAGGNCAGCAATGTTATTTAAAAGGCTTTAGAAAGTTCTTAGCAATGGTGTTCTAAAATAAATGGGAGGCTGAAACTCAAATAAATTTTAGCTCAAGACAATTTAGTTTATGTTAATACAATATACAAACCTATCTAAGCTTGAAATAAATTTCCGACCCTGCCCCCCCCCAAAAAAAAAAAATGTTTAAATTGTTATTAGTTCTCTTTTGTTTCGTTATTCAAACCTTTTTATTTTTTAGTTTATTTATTTCTGAAAAAAACATTGATTAGACATAAAAATCTATAAAAAGTGGAAGTGACCCAAAAACCAGTTTTCTTCATTTTCAGGCTAAACGATTTATATAGTTTGTCTTGGAAGATATGTATGTATTTAAACATGTAAGGCAGTGCTTAGCATCCGGATCCGTTGGATCCGCAAGATTTTGATCCGGATCCGCAAAAAATGCGGATTCACGGATCCGGATCCAAGGGTTAAAATATCAACCAAAACTGCAAAAAAACCTTTTTTACTCCTAAAACCCAAATCTGAACATTTGAAAATAAAGAGAGATTATAAAAATTTCCTCATTAGTTTTAGGATAAAAATCGGCGAAAAAATAAAACAAAAAATTCAGTAAATCTCCAAGAAATGACCTGGATCCGGATCTATTTTTTTCCAGTGCGGAACCATCTTAATTAGACGGATCCTAAGCACTGAATTTTAATGTGTATATTTAAACTGAAAAAAATATGATATATTTTCCAATCCTTTATTGAGAAATTACCTTTACTTGTTACGGGTAAAAGAACTGAATTCGGGCATATTTCAGTTTTTATCGATGTATGGAAAAGAGATAAGCTTGGTTTTAGACCTTGGGGTTATATGTGGTCCCAGAAGATAACGGGTTCAGCTGTTTTTACGTTTTTATTCAAAGATATGTTTTAGATGCTGGTAAAAGTACTATTGGCGGACAGATGATGTTTCTGACAGGAATGGTGGAGAAGAGAACATTGGAGAAATATGAAAGAGAAGCGAAGGAGAAGAACAGAGAGACCTGGTATCTCTCATGGTGTATGGACACAAACTCGGAAGGTTAATTATTTTTGTATTTCTCTTTTTTGGCCTTAAACTCGAGTTATATTTTTTGCTGAATCCATTTTTTTTCTGGATCAAATTAGATTTAGGTCCTATTTAAAATATTGTCAATGTAAGAAAATCATTTTCTCGTAAGAAGTTAAGACATTGTTAGGGGGTTCTTTCTTATACGCTGATTTCCATGTAAAGTTTAAACATTGTTTTCCTTTGTAGATTCTCTATTAAAGTGTGTATTTATGCTACTAAAACAATGGAGGAAAGAATACTTTTGAAAACAAAGGGAACCCATGGGTGGGAGTAATCTAGGCTTTAAAAAAACTCAGACAACGCCTAACACTTCAGCTAGTAATACATATTTTGTAGAACGTGAGAAAGGAAAGACGGTTGAGGTTGGTCGGGCATATTTTGAAACTGACCAAAAGCACTTTACTATCCTGGATGCCCCCGGGCATAAATCCTTTGTCCCGAACATGATTGGCGGAGCGTCTCAGGCAGATCTCGCTGTGCTCGTCATATCCGCCAGGAAGGGAGAGTTCGAAACTGGGTTCGAAAGAGGGGGCCAGGTACAGCCAACAGGCTTTTTTTAGGGGCTTATATTTTCTTGACAACCTTCTTTCTATCAATACACGTCAGGAATGAAAGATGAAAATATTTTTTTGTTAACGTTTATAATATTAGGTTTAGATCATCATTAAAGTCTTTTGTAAATCTACAGGATTACATCTNTTAATTATTCTCTGTTGTGTTCTCCGCCAATAAATTTTCTCGTTTATTAAAGAAATTATGATAAAGATCTTTTACTTTTTTTTTAAACACTTTCCTTCCTTCCCCCCCTCTTCCTCTTAAAAGAAAAGTTTATTAAGCACATGAACATGTGCTTTTTATTATTAATTTTCTAAATTAAATAAAACCAATTTTCACCATTTTAAGGAACTGTGAGCATAATTTCAAGAGATCCTACATGCAAAGATGGCAAAGTCACTTTTGGAGAGAAACCACAATCGAAAATAATCAGTTTTCGAGATCTTGAACATGGTTATCTCCTTTGTATTTTATTAGACTTGACGCTTTTAAGAGTACGGTTGGGATTCGGGTATTGCCATCACTTGATGTTATGCTTACANAAGAAAGTATTAAGCTTGAGTACTTTCTACTTGACGTAATCGGATTTCCTTGTCACCTGAAACTAGAAAATTCTAGTTTCCAAAATGAAAATCCTAGATAATGTACTTTCTTTGAAGTTGAAAAGTTGTGACCGATTTACCTGCGGTCATGTCAGACACATTATTTCAAACATCTAAATTGATTAATTAATTGTTATGAAAAAATTTGAGGAAAAACATTTTCTTTTTTTAAAATATTCTTTTGTCCTAAAAATTTGGAAAACCCAAGTAAATGAAATGATTTAAAAAAAGAAAGAAAAAACAAGTCATTATAAGAAAAAAATCTAAAAATTATTTTTATCTTGTTGTAGACCCGGGAGCATGCTATGTTGGTGAAAACTGCTGGAGTAAAACATCTTGTTGTTTTAATAAACAAAATGGACGATCCCACCGTCAACTGGGATGTCAAGAGGTAATATTAAATAAGATAAGTTGAAATCGGTGCTTAGGAATCATTTTAATTTTGATGCGGATCCGAATCCTGGATCCGCACTGGAGATAAATGGATCCGGGTCCAGATCCAGGTCATTTCTTTAAGATTTACTGAATTTTTTTAACAAAATAATTCTCAAATTTTTGTTTATTTTTATCGCTTATTTTTATCCTAAAAACCATTGAGAAATGAGAAATTTTTATAATCTCCCTTTTTAAAAAGATTTAGGAGTAAAAAAGTTTTTTGCATTTAATTTGCAGTTTTTGTTGATATTTTACCCCTTGGATCCGGATCCAGGAAGCCAAAATCTTGCGGATCCGGATCCTAAGCACTGAAGGGAACCTATGAGTTGTCGCCAGCTAATTGTTTAATCTAAGGCTCATTATATTATGACTTGAAAGCTTCTAGAGAAAATTGCCCACATATAAATGTTTATTTTGGTATTTGGGTTCAATCAAAGCGGAATCGTGGTAATGCCCTATCACATCCAACCATTAGGTCACGTGATGAGTTCTATCTATCTATCATAGGCTCCAATAAATAATATCCATACATATCTTAAGTAATAAACCGCGAAACCTATTTCAGACAATCACACATTTTCTTCACATTTAACTGATGCATTATTACAATCTGCTCATGTTAACTATATCGTGGGATACGTATAACTGGGCCGAGCGCTGCGGCTCTTAAACACTTGTTAAAGTTTGCGATGATTTTCAGAACTCGCAAGATCATTACTTCAGGATTAGTCTATGTAACCCAATTACTATCTGCTCATGTTATCTGTATAGGTGGGTTAAGGCCTCTTATTCAGAAGTGGTCGAGGTTTCGTGATCTAAAATATATTCATTTTTTTCGGGCCGAAATTTGGCCTTACCACAGCCCAATACGCTCATAAATTGCCGGTATTTGTGAATTTGTCAGTGACATAATGTATGCGAAACTTCGCTCAAAATTTTGCGTTGAATTTGCGTATTTTTTCGCGCATGCGTAAATAAATTTCTCACAAATAAAAAGATTTTTTGAACCCTTGTTTTGTGTTTAGGTACGATTACTGCAAAGATGCTCTAACTCCTTATCTGAAGAAACTAGGATTCAACCCATCTAAGGTCAGTTTTACTAGGGCGGCCCAGTAAAAATTGTTCAGAGGTGCTCTTTTTCTTTTGCTCAGATAAAAATCAAACTAAGAAATTTCCAAAATATTGTTTTTGGGACCTCCATTTCGTCTTCCACGAGAAAAATACTCTATTTTTTGTGGCTATTTTTGAACTTTTATGATTTTATTTTTTAAAACTTGCTTGAAATCTTCAGTTGTTGACTGAGAATGATGTTTATATCATTTTCTAAATGCCAGGCCATGGGCTAAAAGATAGAACTGACTGAAAATTCTTAAATTTTTACCCGTTACCAGTTGACATTTTTAGTGGAAACAAGTCTCAAAAAGTGTAAAGGATGTTTTTTTTAAGATATTGGATGGGTTTATATTTTTAAAAATCTTTTTCAACTAATATAACTAATATCAATATAAACAATAAACTAATGTAACAGAGAAAAAAGATTTTCTGAAGGGGAAAAGATTTATGAAGATGACCAGGGGATATTTTTTCAGGAAAATGAATAAATACCCCTCTTGTGCAATATGTTTAAATTTAAAAGATTTCTTGAATTCAGGAATTTCTGGAATTGTCTTTTTGTCGGAGAAATCTCTTAAATCCCATTCTTTAAGTTTCCTCCTGGTTCAATACTAAACCTAAATATGAAACCTTTATTTTTACAAACAGGAGCAATTTTAAGATCCAACCAAATTCACGTTTTTTTCACAATTGGAACAAATAATAATTTTCAGTTTGTAATCTTTTGTCAAGACCAGTGCTTATGATCCGTTGGATCCGCAAGACTTTGGTTTCCTGGATCCGGATCCGTAGAAAATCAACCAAATACTGCAAAAAATAAATTTACGCTAAAAACCAAAATATCTATTGGAAAAAGAGATTATAAAATTTCCTGATTTCTGAATGGTTTATCAAGTTTTAGCATAAAATAAGCGAAAAAATAAGACAAAATTCCATTTTGTTAAAAATCGATAAATTTGAAAGAAATAACCTGGATCAGGATCCGCATCTAATTTAAATGGATCCTAAGCACAGACGCGAGTGGGATTTTACTGAAAGGTTAAATCCGAAATTATGAAATCACACAATGGGTAATTAACAGCAATTTGTTTAGGATATCATGTTCATGCCTTGCTCTGGACTGTCAGGTGCTGGTTTATTGGAACCTGTTGGGTCAGAGGCGCCCTGGTATACGTAAGTATTTAAAAATATACAAGAATTCAATTTTAACCGGTTTTAGTTTTAAATTTTTTTTTAATTTGTACTTTTTCTTAAACCTGAAAATAATTTTCTTTCGAACATAATATTGACCGATGGTATTTTATGATTTTGCAGATTTTCCGTTTTATTGTTAGATTTTTAAAAACTTTGAAAATCGGAAACTTTGATACGCAAAATTTGAGGCCCACATAAATTCGGCTTTTTTGACGATTGGGCCGTCCGTTGCGGTGGGGGGGGGGGACTTCAGATACTTTCTTATCTGATCTATATCCATTTTTGTTTTGTTTTCAGAGGTCCATCTTTCATCCCATATATTGACTCCCTGCCGACCCTACTAAGAAATGATAATGGTCCTTTCATGATGCCTATAGTAGACAAGTAAGATTTTTAAAATTTGATATTTTGTAGCAGTGCTTAGGATTCATTTAATTTTGATGCGGATCCGGATTCTGGATCCGCACTGGAAAAAATGGATCCAAATCCAGATCCGCATCCAGGTCATTTCTTTAGAATTTACTGAATTTTTTAACAAAAAATAATTTTTAAATTTTTTGTTTTATTTTTTTCGCTTTTTTATCCCAAAACTTAATGAACCATTCAGAAATGAGGACATTTTTATAAATGAGGAAGCAAGATTGCTTCCTGGATCCGGATTCGCAAAAATATGCGGATCCACGGATCCGGATCCAAGGCGTAAAATATCAACCAAAAACTACTAAAAAAACTTTTTTACTCCTAAAACCGAAATCTGAACTTATGAAAAAAGAGATTATAAAAATTTCCTCATTTCTGAATGGTTCATCAAGTTTTAGGATAAAAATAAGCGAAAAAAATAAAACAATAAAATTGAAAATTATTTGTTGTTATCTTGAAAGAAAGGATCCGGATCCATTTTTTTCAATGCGGATCCAGGATCCGGATCCGCATCAAATTTAAATGGATCCTAAGCACTGGTCATGTGTTTGGTGTTTTTTCTGAACCAATTGAAATCGCATAGCGGTAACATCTATCTCATCATTCAATTAGAGATTAATCTATATTGGCGCTATACACTAAATGGAAATATTTACTTCTACTGAAACTATAGTGACATGTCTATAACACAATTTAAATTTTTTAACGAGTTTGAATAATAAGATTTCAGCATAGTTTTTAGCATTGCTTAGGATCCATTTAATTTTGATGCGGATCCGGATCCTGATCCTGTATCCTCACTGGAAAAAATGGATCCGGATCCAGGTCATTTCTTTGATATTTACTGAATCTTTTTAACAAAAAATAATTTTCAAATTTTTTGTTATTTTTTTTGCATATTTTTATCCTGAAACTTGATGAATTATTCAGACATGAGGAAATTCTTATAATCTCTTTTTTTTCAAAAGTTCAGATTTTGGATTTAGAAGTTTAAAAGGTTTTTTTTGCAGTTTTTGGTTGAAATTTTACCCCTTGGATCCGGATCCGGATCCTAAGCACTGGTTTTTAGTAAACAATTATCAAACAACTAGTAAATAATAGTAAACGTAGTAAACAATTATTATACATCACTGCCAATTCACCAAGAAAAATACAGTACTGCTTGTGTACAGGTACAGTGAATACTGTACTGTTTGTATACAGGTACTGTGTAAACTGTACTGTGTGTATAGGTACAGTAAAATGGGTACAGTTGTCATGTACTGCTAATGTATAGGAACAGTGAGATGGGTAAAGTTGTAACGTACTGCTTATGTATAGGTACAGTGAGATGGGTATAGTTGTAATGTACTGCTTATGTACAGGTACAGTGAGATTGGTGCAGTTGTAACGTACAGCTTATGTATAGGTACAGTGAGATGGGTACAGTTTTAACGTACTGCTTATGTATAGGTACAGTGAGATGAGTACAGTTGTAATGTACTGCTTATGTATAGATACAGTGAGATGGGTACAGTTGTAACGTACTGCTTATGTATAGGTACAGTGAGATGGGTACAGTTGTAATGTACTGCTTATGTATAGGTACAGTGAGATGGATACAATTGTAATGTACTGCTTATGTACAGGTACAGTGAGATGGGTACACTTATAATGTACTGGTCATGTATAGGTACAGTGAGATGGGTACAATTATAATGTACTGGTCGTGTATAGGTACAGTGAGATGGGTACAGTTGTCATGTACTGGTCATGTACAGTTACAGTGAGATGGGTACAGTTGTAATGTATTGCTTATGTACAGGTACAGTGAGATGGGAACAGTTGTAATGTACTGCTTATGTATAGGTACAGTGAGATGGATACAGTTGTCATGTACTGGTCATGTACAGGTACAGTGAGATGGGTACAGTTGTAATGTACTGCTTATGTATAGGTACAGTGAGGTGGGTACAGTTGTAACGTACTGCTTATGTACAGGTACAGTGAGATTGGTTCAGTTGTAACGTACTGCTAATGTACAGGTACAGTGAGATGGGTACAGTTGTAACGTACTGCTTATGTACAGGTACAGTGAGATGGGTACAGTTGTAATAGGAAAAGTGGAGAGTGGAAAGTGCAAGAAAGGCGATCTGTTGTTAGTTATGCCTAATAGGGTAAGTTGATATTTTAATCTAAATCCTGGTAGTTCTTTTTTCATGCATTATCATTATAACCATGTCGGTCAAAATAATTCGAATAGGGATTTTCTCAGTTTTGCAAGATCACTAGTTTAAGCCATTACCAGTAAAGAATTTCTCCAGATTATTTTAAGTGACTTTTTTTAAGGGACTGTAAGCTTATTTTAAGGGACTGTAAGCTTATTTTAAGGGACTGTAAGCTTATTTTAAGATTATTTTAAGGGACTGTAAGCTTATTTTAAGGGACTGTAAGCTTATTTTAAGGGACTGTAAGCTTATTTTTAAGCAACTCTCCGTGCAAAAATGGCAACGCCCAATTCACAACAGTACCATTGAAAACCTTATCTGATCAATAAAGTTGAAAATATTTTTGTTTTTTTCTAAGCTTTTTTAAGATTATTCCAATATGTTTCCCTGCAGTAGAAATGCGCAATGCGTAAATAATCATTTTCCAATTTATTTAATTCATTCTTGATCAGACAAAGCTAGTAAGGGAACCGTTGTAAATCGGGACGGTCACTTGAAATTACGCGTATAGTCTCTTTTTTTAAGTATGGGTTGAACTTCAATGTATCTAGGTTGAGGTGAAGGTTGACCAGCTCTGGTCCGACGATATTGAGGTTACAGGAGTCACCTCAGGAGAAAATATTAAAGTCAAGGTGAAAAATAAATCGATAAATCGATTGATTGATTGATTGATTGATCGATTGATTGATTGATTGATTGATTGATTGATTGATTGGGATAGAAAGAGTAAAATTTAAACTTTGCAGTACGCTTTGTTTAGAAGCCTAAAAAATCTAGGATTATTTAAACACACTTTCTATCCGGAATGATATTGATTGATTGATTGATTGATTGATTTGATATATGGATACATGGATACATTGGTACATGGGTACACGGGTAAATCATAAATGGGTACATTATATTTTCCTAAATTTGTTTAATTCAATTAGGTTAAAGGAATAGAGGAAAACGAAGTAACCCCGGGATTCGTACTCTGTGACCCCCAAAACCCAATTAAAACCGGAACCGTCTTTGATGCACAAGTAAGATGAATTTTTAATGCGAAATTTCCAGTAACCCATCAATTTATTTTGTTTATTTTATTTATTTTATTTTATTTATTTTATTTATTTTATTTATTTTATTTATTTTATTTATTTTATTTATTTTATTTATTTTATTTATTTTATCGTCTTCCTATTCCATAGTTTTGTGGGCCTTACTGTTTATTACAACGCCGCGCATTTTTTGTTCCCCTAAAAGCAAATGCGAGTTTTTTTTTAAATTTCTATTTCTGAATTTCTGATGGCATAATCATCATTTTTAATGGATAATTTCTAATAGGTTTACCTTAGTCTTTGTTGTCAAGCTGCATTGCAAATTGCAAATAATTTCAACTCAGTCCTGTGATAGAAAATTTATTTTTGTATTGGCGTGTGGTTAAAGGGCGGTCGCTATTTTGTTTGATTGTAACAATAAGTTTTTAACGTACCATGTTTAAGATTGTGATGCTGGATCTAAAATCTATCATCTGTGCTGGATATTCTTGTATTCTTCACCTTCAAGCAATGTCAGAAGAGGTAAATATATGCATACATTTATCCATTTATTTTTGTTTAATTCATTAAAAAAATTGTGCATTTAGTTCCATCATTTATTGATTTATTCATACATTCATATATTTGTTCACACATTCATTCATTTATTTATTAATTCATTTATCCTCACAAATATATATTTACTCTTATTTCTGTATTCAACTTCACGTTTTTATTTTACATAGAAATAAACATACATTATGTTTCATGCTTTGCCAGCAATCTTCAGTTGTCTAACATTTATAAATATATATTTATCCTTACATTAATATATATATTTTGTTTTGCATGAATGTATTTTTATTATAAAATTCATTTGTTTATAGATTTGTTTGTTTACACTTTCATTCTTTCACTCGTTTCTTAATCCAATTATAACGTCATAATTATGATTTTTTTTCATTTAAAATCCAGAAATTGTTAAATTACCTGAAAAAAAGTGCTAAGAGTCGGTTAAAACCAACCAAATCTGGTTTTCTTGTCATGTTATACAATATTTCGTCCCAATAAACATGGGCATTAAGAACTCATCATCATTTACGTGTACATGTTTTAAGCTTTCCGAAATGTGGTCTGCCTTCGTAAACATAAACATAAACAATTGAAAATCAAAAACTTTCTTTAAGTCGTCACTTAATTCCCATGTTTATTTGGAACACTTTGTAGACTGTTGAGTGTTGATTAAGTGGAAAAGATTTCACAAAAATCATCCAAACTTTAAATATTATAAAATGTAAAGGTCAAGGATTACTTAATTAATACATTGGTCTCTGTAATATTGCTAAATAATGAGTTTTAAGCTAAGGAAACCCATCCCAATTTAGAAAATAAAAAGATTAGCTAACATAATTGTAAAAACACTGCACAGTGCAGTCATTTGTGTTTCAGTAAAGCCATGTAAGGTAGGCCTTTGCTCACATACGAACAACAAGAAAGATAAATGATAATTGAAATGATAAATTTATTTTTTTAGCTTTAATGTTATTTAATTTTGGATGTTTTTTTCTTCTTGAAAACAAATTTTTTATGTACGGATTGTACTGATCTCTTCCGAACTGTACGGATTTTTAAAAAATGATGGATTTTCATGTACGGATTGTACTGATTTTTTTTCTCATAAATGTACGAATTTTTTTCTGAAAATGTACGGATTTTTCTCAAAAAGTTTTGGCCACCCTGAAGCTCTGATATTTAAAAATAAGAGGTGTTCAGGTACAATCTTATCTGATATGATTGTTGTAGGTAACTATTAAAGCCCTGATTTGTCTGGTGGATAAGAAAACAGGAGAGAAATCTAAAACAAGGCCGAGGTTTATTAAGCAGGACCAGATCGCTATTGCCAGGTAAAAAAATCAATATTAATAAATCGAAACCCGGGAATGCGTAAATATAATAAAAGACAACTTATTGAAAAATATGTGGCGGGGAGGGGGGATTTGATTTCAGGTTATTTGCACTTTCATTTCTAGTTTTTTTCCCCTCGTAGTTTTCATTGCAAATATTTTGGAGTTGGAATTTTTTGCCGGTTTGTAAAATTTTGTATATTTTTGAAAACATGTCATTGTTGATTTACTATTCGGACCTTTTCTCAAAGGTACCATTTAATCCTCTTTCTTAGCAAATAGGAACATATTTAAATTCTTACTATTTATTTTTATCAATGTCACGTGATGTAGATCCAGTCTTACCATTATAAATACCACAATAGAAAGAAATCTATTGTTCCTAGAAAAGGATAAATATCTCATTCATTACGGACAGGACAGATTTAAATCTGCAAGGCACAACGTTAATGATAGATTTCTTTTTACTATTAGGTTTGTATCCAACCATCCGATCTGTATGGAAACCTTCAAGGATCATCCACAGCTTGGCAGATTCACGCTTAGAGACGAAGGTAAATTTTTTATGTGTAAAAAATGCGTAACATTGATTAAAATGTTCCCCCTCCCCCGCTTTTGAAATTCTAGTTGCGTTTGCGCGAAGCGACACATTTTTTTAATGGTTTATTTGCTTGGACGAGAGGGGTGATTATTGTTGTTCCTACCATGAGGTCGTAATTAGATAATAGTTAGATGTTGATTGAATGGGTACAGATAGTTAAACCAATTCAATTCACACAGGGTTAACAACAAAGGACTACTGTACAGAATTTATTGATGCTTTTTTTGTTGCATTCAAGGTTCTCTGAAGTTGTAAACTTGTTTTATCGTTTCGCAAAATCATTAAATGTAGCATTAACCCTAATTAGCCTGGGGGGGGGTCAATTTGCGACAACTCAAAAATAATTTAAGGTCACATTTTCTAGCTTTTCTAACTAACCCATGCTCCTCACTTAAGGCTAAAAGCTGGGCTTTTATACCTACTGCCTGAGTTCTCAGGCATACTGCCTAAATGTCCTATTATACCTGGTCCAGATTAAATCTTTATTAAGACCTAATTCCAGTCTTTGGATTTTAATATTTTATTGCTCTTTGGAAAGCCTATAACAAAAGCGAGCAGATTGCAAAAAAATTTTAAAAGAAATTTTGCACAAATTTTTGCACAGACTTTGAAAAACCGGTTTTAATTTTTCCGCATTTGTGGTGTCATATCAATTGAACTAATGATAGATTGAACGAACGTAAGTTTTGGGCTAATGTTCATTAAGACAAAGGAGTGAAGAATACAAGGGGGGGGCAATGGGATTTCCGTACACTTTGTTGTGACGGTTTTGGACTGCTGAAAAACTAGTTTCTGCGTAACAACAATAATAAAGATTGTAAACTATATTACAAATGATTAACAAACATCTGTTTTCTCTGACGTTAAATGAAATTGAAAATAAAAGGTGGCTACACACAATCAGAGGCGTATTTGTAAAGGGGGGGGGGTTACGGGATAACCTTGTATTTGATAGAAAATGTATCTGTAATAAGGTTCTATTCGTTTGAGGAAAAAAAATCCTAAAATTTTTCATTTTTTTACAAGATAATATCAGCAGTTATCTGCAAGTTTTCTTATTGAAGCAAAACGGTGGGGTGGGGGGGGGGACACCTCCTATTGAATTGCTTTGAGTATTTCTAACCCCCCCCCTCTATTTCTTAAAAACGAGACTTTTCCAGTCTTTTTTTCTACATTAATACTGCTCTGAAGTTGTAAGCTTTCTTAAAAAACAGAAGATGGACACGAAGCGCCCTGAAAGCCTTATATATATAGATGGGAACATTGTTTAGAGTTATCATGTTTTAAATTTTTATTATAAATATTTTCAGGAACTACTATTGCAATCGGAAAAATCTTGAAGGTTGTTGAATAAACACTGAAATATCACGATATGGAACACCACGGAAACAATAGTGAAATATATGTGGGCCCGGCTCAATCAACGAACACTGCTGCTGGTAACAAACACATCCTCAAAATTCAGTTTTTTTTAAATCCGCAGTTTGAGACCGAGGAAATCCGCCAAAATATATATCTCGAAGAAGATCGCGGATTTGCACTCGCCTATTCAGTGATATGTTTGGTGACCAACTGCGACCGGATTCAAAATATAGTTAAATGTGATTTTTCAACAATAATTGTTGGGGATCAGGGGTCTTGGCTAATTTTTATACAGGTTTAAATATTAAAAGGGTATGGTACTGAATTATGCTTAAACAATATATCAACCTAAAAACTGTAGTTTTTTTTAACTCCTTGTTCTGGAGGAATTGTGCTGAAAACTGAGTTTAGTAAATCCTGTTTCTAATCTCGTGCTTTTAGTGTCAGAATATTTTTGCTATTAAACTTCTTTACATAAACTCATCTCTAGGCGAGATTTTTTACTTTATTTACAATTTTTTTTGTCGAAAAGTAAATATATTAACAGTTTTACAGACAGTGATCTTTCGATCTCGCTTCTAACGTGAACTTTGGTTTGAAAGAGAGATTCGATAAAATTTTTAATCTAATGTCTCTAAAAGGGGCTGTAAGCGTATTTCATGTGACCCTTCATGCAAAGATGGGAATTGCTTATTCACAACAGTACCCTTACAAGGTGTGTCTGATCAATGATATACATGATTTCAATGTTTACAATAATTAAAACTGATAATGTTAACTATGGTTTCCCTCTACTGCAGAAAATCTGTTATGAATTTCCAAAGAACACCTGCAAACCTAGAAAAAAAGAAAATTTCTTCTATGTTGCTGGAAAGACTGAAGTTTTCAAGGTGTGAATTTGCCATTGCCATCTTTGCATGGAGGGTCATTTGAAATTACGCGTGTATTGTCTCAACTTTAGCTTTTGTCTCCGATATTGTGGCCCCCGAAGGAAGAGAAGAAAATGAAAAAATTAGATGAAAAGAAGCAAGAAAAAAGGGTAGAAATTGGCATAAAATCTAATTTTTGTTACCAACATTATGTGTTAAGGATTATATTTTCTTTATATTAAAGAACAGTACTTTCTGGATTAAATAAATTGGGATTGTCCTGTGAAATGATAGGGTTAAAATTATTTTTTCTGTTTGAGAAGCTCATTAGTTTCCCTTCTTTTCGTAGATTAACGATCCTAATGAATCATATCTGACCATAGCGACAAATTGAACTTTTTATAAAAAAATGGCCAGGTTTAGGGAAAGCTGTTTGCACACATCCTTAAGGTTGCTGGGGAGTTCTCTTTCTAATTTTAATAATGGGGGGGGGGTGGGTAATTCAATGATAAATTCGAAACATCTGAAAACGGCTTAATTTCTATAATTACATGCTTTGCAGCAAGGAAAGTCAATTGCAGTTGTGTATACTCTGCGTACATATTGAAACCAGTTCTCTCTGGGGGGAATTTGTAAACAGAATAGATGCACGTGTTCGTTTAGTATCCGAGGAGGATAAAAACATTTAATTTTGACAATTTTGAAAATTCACATAATAGTTTCAAGGCCAGAATATTTCAACGATTATTTTTGTGAGAATGGATGTCAGGCTTCGACATCCGTCTTATGTTTACTTTTCCGCCCTAAGACAAGTACACTGCAGTACAAAAAATGCGTACACCTCTGAAGTAACTTTCCTTGCATTAGTACCTAGCTTTGCAGACGGTATCATCATTTGAATTATTTGTCTGATGTACAAATACCGCGTGTACATATGTACAATAACCTATTCCGAGTATTTCTTTATCAAATAGAGTACCGTCTGCAAAGCATGTTTATTGTTTAATCGTATGGTAGGGCGCAGGCCGCGTCATTTGTGTCTCCCTTCTTTCCATACTTCCTGGTTGCACCCTTTTTTAGTGGCGTTTTCTCTCCCGAGCCGCCGCTGTCTCATTAAATTCGTTGTCTCGGGGTCATTCGAATATGGGAGAGGCCCTCAGCTCCTAAAATATGTTCAATTCAGCTAATTAATTTAGTTTGCAATTGAACAATTAAGTGCTAATTCGCAAGCTGTAGTGCAAATGAACGTTAGTTCGAATGTACGTTGGTCCGATCAATCATTAGTGCTATAGATATTTCACCAAATGAATGACAAGAACAGGGAAGACGACATTTGTAGTTTTATTATTTCTCAGTTATGTTGAAATCCGTAGGCCACATTGATTTATTCTAGTCTTTCTATTCGCCAAGAATCAAAGGTCGTCGGAAGTTTTGCATGACTTATTGCGTAATCCTCCTCTATTGAAGACGATATTTTCACAACTTTTTAATCCTTGGCATGGGGTGAAGGGAGCAGGAGGGGGGGATAGATAAAACTCCTAAGAATGCGCGAATACCTGATAATATTTTCTTAATTCTCTCTCTCTATGACAGCTTGCTAATGATACCCTATGTAAAATAATAAAATCAAAATGTACGTATTCTTGATATATATATAACGTTTACTTTGTTAACTTTGTATTTTTTGATCAATAAAAAGATTTGAATAATAAAAAAAAACTATTTGAGGAACTCTGGACTCCCTCCCTCATAGGGTAGCCACATTAACATGGCAATTTAATGAAAAATATACATACATACAGGGCAAGTAAAAAAACGGAACTTTATAATCTGTGTTCATTTATTTTGGCAAAAAAAAATTTAAATTTGATTTTCAAAAGGCAAAAATATTTAGGTACACCGGGTGTCCCAAAAAACATGGGAATTCAGTGACGAATTCGATATCGTCTTTGTTACGAATTAGCATTGTAATACCTAATTTCAAAAGCCATAGTATTATTATATCTGCTAGAGTTTATTTAATGAAAAGGGTAAAAGACTGTAAAGATGTGTCTAATGTCTCCGCAAGATGAACAGTGAATACGGACAAGTTTACTCTGTTTGTATACTGCAATTTTCTTGTTTTACTAATTGTACAACCGTATGCACTCAAAACATAAACAAACAAAATTTGAACATATAGCAGACGAAACTCTTACAGATTTCAGCTTTCTCAGTAGGTATACTAAATCAAAGAATTATTTAAAAAGACGATATCGAATTCGTCACTGAATTCCCATGTTTATTGGGACACCCTGTATATCATGAAAATAAAATCTGGGGGAACAATTGAACATTTATGATTTTTTTCGTTCTGTATATTTTTAATTCGCTGGGTCAAGGGCATTTTAGAAATCATTAATGTGTCACATTTCGCGCAACACATTTTTTGCTTAATTTGCAAACTTAATATTTGGATTATTGCAAAAAAATGTTGCAGATAATTTAAGCCACCCCCAGGCCCGAGTAGCTGGGAATTTGAAAAGGTGGGGGGGGGGGGGGTAGGCACAAAAGTTCTAAATAATGCATGTTTTAAGATGTCATGCGCACCTGAAAACTCAATTATATAGGGTCAAAATTATTGAATGAAGACTATAAAACAAGATTTTTAACTTTTTAACTTGGCTTTATTGTATATTTTAAGATAAATATTTGGCCTGTTTTCCTTCCCATGGTGTTTGTATAAAAAAGTTACTACCGTTTTAACAAAGAAAATAAGGAATATCATAAAATTACTTAAAGTTTTTAATTTTTTCTCAGAAAAATGTAGATGATAATTTGAATTTACAAATTTTTCTTGAGATTATAATTTTAGTTTTTATTTAAATAATAACAATTTCTTTTGCTTAACTATTTTAAAACACTTTTCGGTTTCAGAGCTTTTTTGCAACATTTAAGAAAAAAATGGCCTAACCTTTTTTTTGAAAAAAAAGGCTTTTTATACCTACTGCTTCCCATGTGCGTGCTATTTCCAGACGTATATTTGCATCAAAACAAAACAAAAATGGAGGTACAAGAATAAGATGTAGAAACGAATTGAGTTTTTGCCAAAAATCCCAATTTTATAATACGCTAATCTCAACAACCAGATGATGCATGCATTTCTTATTTCAAACTTACATTATTTGATCCACCAGAATTCATAATTTGAAATATCCACGGTCTACGTCATTTGGTTTTAAAGAAATTGTGATTTATAAATCCGAGTTTGAGGCAAAGATTCATCCTTTACGAATTGAATTATAAAAAATGTTTAAAATGTTGAAAAATGTTTAATCATGAATAGACAATACTTATTTTTCATACGGGGAAAGTAAATGATGTAAATTCCTGTAAAGATCAAGAATAGCTCAGGCATGAAAAGGCATGAAAGTTGAAATAGAAGATGGGCACGAAAAAAGCCTAGTAATATAAATGTTACGTCTTGCTGTACAATATGGTTCATTAGAATCATCAATTTAAGAAAAGAAAGGAAAAGGATAAGATTATTAAATACAAAAAATTATTTAAACCCTATCATTTCAAAAGACAGGATTTAAATGTAAATTCCCAATTAATTTATTCCAGAAAGCATTCATTTTTTCGCCCCTTTTCCCGCCCCCAGCTACGGACCTTGCAATTCCCAAAAGGACTTCCCTTCAATTTAAAAATTGTTATTGATTTGTATCACAGGCCAGCTGATCAAAGATATTAACCAAAACGATTTTTCAAAACAGAAAACGATTTTATTAGTCGGTTTAAAAACAGAAAACGATTTTATTATTCGGTTTGAAAACAGAAAACGATTTTATTAGTCGGTTTGAAAACAGAAAACGATTTTATTAGTCGGTTTGAAAAAGCGTGCTGGATTATTGGCTTTGAAATTTTGCTTTGTGTAATGAAAGCAATCTTGTCTAAATAGGATTAAATAGGATTTGTATTTCATATTGTTGAGTAGACTTTAAAAAGTCTAAAAACTTGAACATTTAAAAACTGACCTCTACACGATGCATAAAATCCTTCACTATAAGTAAATTGACCAAGATCTTATACGTAAGTTAGTTAAAGAAATATTTTCTTAGAGATTGTCGTAGAGACCTATTAATTAACTTAATTGATTAATTAATTAAATTAATTTAAAATGATTGATTCACCAATGCTAAACATTCCTCCATTCTTTTTTTAAGATAAAGTTATTGTAAGGGTACTCTTGTGAATCGTACAAGCCATTCTATAACTAGACAGTCGTTTAAAATTCCGTTTACAGTCCCTTTAAAATAAAAAGGAAAATGTGTTTTTGAAAGGTTTGTATTATCGAGATAATTTATGAAATCTGCCTGGAGTGCGGGGAAATCCAATAAATTGATGCACTTATATGTCGGAAATCCAACTAAATTGTTCTGGAAACTCATAATATAAAGTTTAAAGATGTGTATAAAAATCACATTTATATTCATTCATCACAAGAATTAGTTTTTATTCCCGTTTAAAAATCGAGGGGGGGGGGGCATTTGCTAAAAGGCTGAATTATGTATTTTAAAATCCATATATCTACATATATACTTGGTTAGTCAACAAAGGTAGAGACACTCTTGTACTATAACGCCGGAGATATGAATTCTGTACAGCTGTCTCATCCTGTGTGGGTAGGGATGGGTTTTTTCC